GCCTTTGTAAATTTCTTTCTTTTGACAGCCATATTGCAGTATTCACTTTACCGTATCAATACTCCGATACATCGGTGAACACTGCATTCAATTCCATGTTCTACTGATGCGCGTACAAATATACAGACAACAGTGATTCAAAAATTCAAAAAATTTTTTATTTGGCTTCTGTAGCTTTAATAAAAACCCACCATATTAATTTTTCTTTAATATGTATAAGGTACAGACATCGACCTGTTACAATTTTATTATATGTATAGATGTAGATATAGATTTCATTTATTTTATCAATTTAATACAATAAAATTTTTCAAACAGGTGGCAGCCCTCCCTAAAANATTCATTTTTTCTTATCAATTTACTTAAACTCCAATTTTCAAACAGGTGGCAACTCTCTATTTTTTTTCCTCCTATATTTTAAGTTAGACTCCTAGCAATACATCGGTGAAAACTGCATTCAAATCCATGCATTCGTTTTCGAGTGATGCGCGAACAGACAGACAGACAAAAATTCTAAAAATTGTTGATTTGGCCTCTGGTGCTCTAATAAAGACCCCCCACATTAATTTTTCTTTAATATCTATAATGTACAGATATCGACCTGTTACAATTTTATTATATGTATAGATAGATGATCATGATTGTCCTAAAGCTAACTAAGCTATTTATAGTTGAACTTTTTGAAGTTGATTTGCATAGGGAAGACCCGTAAATTAGGGATTTAACCCTTAGACGGGCAAGTGAGAAATATCGGGTTTTTATTTTTAGGAATTTTTGTTTCAGGATAACTTTGTTACACTGAACTCATATTTGAAGACCACTTTTCAAAATTTTTAACTGTTGGGGCGCTGGGTCCAAAAAATTGAAGACTGTCTGAAAAACGGTCGTGCCTGTGTAAGGGTAAAAAACAAACCAGGTGTTTTATAGATATAAAATTAAAGAAAACAATTTTATTCAAGCAATATTACTGGCAAACACAGTTACCAATATTATAATATTGGTTTTGTATTATTCACGCGAGTGATAGTCTTTAAAAACAGTTTTTGGTACGCGAAAAACTTAAATGTAGTTTACATTTTGTACAAAAAGTGTGAGTATCGGATTTCTTGAACAGTTTGCATGACTTCTTTGAACCCCACTTAGGAATATGGCTAAGCTGGTTATACCTTATTTCTCCTATGGGGTGTGTTGTTCGTTTACCAATAGTGTTATTGCTAAGGACCGGGTGTGGTGCGCTTGATGGCCGACCAACTGTTGGCTTGTCGGCGGAAATACTAAGAGCTAATTCCAAACGAAACTGGTACTGCGTCAAATCCTTTTCTTTCCTTTCTTCCTCTGTAAATGATGATTTCTTACGACGGTACAGAATTAAAGCATTGGTAGTAGCCAGATCCAGTAGATGATAAAAGATACGCGTCATATTATCCATAGTTTTTATACGAAATCCGTTTCTGCCCATGTACGAATCCTTTAGATCTACACCGCCCATGTGACAGTTGTACTCAAGAATTATTTGGGGGCAATCTATCTCAATGTATTCTCTCTTCTTTCCGTTGTATCGATGCCTTTTCGATGGCTGGTTGGTAGAATTAGCTTTTGCAAATGGATGTCTACTCCATATGCGTTACCAACAAACTCAACTGTGAACCCTCTATCTACCCTTTTCAGCTCTGCATCAGAATCGGATGGTAGCTTACAGCTCGATATTCTGTTTGCTCGAATGGTACCTAACGAGAATATACCACGAGCCCGCAAATAAACCAGAAGTGGCAGGGATGAGTAGAAATTATCAAAGTATATGATGTGGTTGACGAAATCAGGTATTGTTTGCGATAGCCGGATGACGACATTGCTAGTGGCTCCAAGATCTGTTGTTCCTGGTAGGACAGTGTTATCACCAGCACCATTATACACCTCAAACCGGTATGAGTATCCATTGCTATCACTAGGGATGCAAACGATGTATAGATGTTTTTCTGGACGATACATCGTCGATACATCGACTAGAAAAGTGAAAAACATCGACATCGTTCATTCAGTCCATTCGTATTTTGCCGAACGACCAGTGGCAAGCGAGCGCTTGTTCTCGTAAGCTGGTGCAACCATCATTCAGAATAAAAGCAGGCTTTTGGGGGCTAGATTATCAAAGCTTCTTTTCTGAACTCATTTTTAAAAATGTTTATTCACATTTAAACAAATAATATTAACAATTTAAGATACATCATAATTATAGCAACATACTTATACTTGTATTGAAATATGCTGCTTGAAGGGAGTTTCTATATGTACATACATACACTGGCGATCAAGCGTGAGTTCATGCTGATTTTTGTTAAATATTTGTCGTTTTTAAAGTTATTTTTTTTTTGGTTATTTTTGTTTATAAAAATATGGTTCATTCCGTAACCAAAACTTAGAAAAATTCAAAAATTTTCATCTAAATTTTGAACTTTTTGGTCTGAATATATAAAAACATTCTGGGTATGTAATTCTAATAAAATAGATGCGGGTAAAATCGCTTTGATTTTTAATGATTTTTCTTTGGCGGCTTTTGCATTTTTTTTATAAAAAAAGGTGCAATTTATAATAACTGGCGTTTATTTTTTTAAATTTTGTTTGCAAAAGGTCTTTCGCATTTATTTCTAAAAGAGATTTACTTCTATAGCATTTTCAGTTTAAATGAAACCATTTTCAAATTAAGCGAAACCTTTTTCAAATTAAATGAGACCTTTCGCATGTTATGCGAATCCTTTTTCAAATTAAATTAAACCTTTTTCAGATTCAGTGAAACTTTATTCNTTGCCGAACGACCAGTGGCAAGCGAGCGCTTGTTCTCGTAAGCTGGTGCAACCATCATTCAGAATAAAAGCAGGCTTTTGGGGGCTAGATTATCAAAGCTTCTTTTCTGAACTCATTTTTAAAAATGTTTATTCACATTTAAACAAATAATATTAACAATTTAAGATACATCATAATTATAGCAACATACTTATACTTGTATTGAAATATGCTGCTTGAAGGGAGTTTCTATATGTACATACATACACTGGCGATCAAGCGTGAGTTCATGCTGATTTTTGTTAAATATTTGTCGTTTTTAAAGTTATTTTTTTTTTGGTTATTTTTGTTTATAAAAATATGGTTCATTCCGTAACCAAAACTTAGAAAAATTCAAAAATTTTCATCTAAATTTTGAACTTTTTGGTCTGAATATATAAAAACATTCTGGGTATGTAATTCTAATAAAATAGATGCGGGTAAAATCGCTTTGATTTTTAATGATTTTTCTTTGGCGGCTTTTGCATTTTTTTTATAAAAAAAGGTGCAATTTATAATAACTGGCGTTTATTTTTTTAAATTTTGTTTGCAAAAGGTCTTTCGCATTTATTTCTAAAAGAGATTTACTTCTATAGCATTTTCAGTTTAAATGAAACCATTTTCAAATTAAGCGAAACCTTTTTCAAATTAAATGAGACCTTTCGCATGTTATGCNTGTTTTTTTACGTAGAAATCAAAAACCAACAGACTTCTACGTATGTAATGCTGTGCGTTGGGTAACAGCTTACACGCGAAGCTCATTTAACAGATTCCTTATGTGACAACTCTCAAGCAATGCCAAGTATGCATAACAGAACCTTTAGTGTTAGCCAGACATGGTGCAAACGTAATAGGTTAAGTTGATTTCCTGTTCCTTATTTTAAAAATGTTTAATACTTAATTTGAATAAAGTTTCATTTAATTAAAAAAAAGTTTAATTTGGTTTAAATAAAGTTTCATTGAATCTGAATTCATTTAATTTGAATAAAGTTTCATTGAATCCGAAAAAGGCTTCCTTTAATTTGTAAAAGGTTTCGCTTCATCTGAAAAATGGTTCAATTAATTTGAACAAGGTTTCCCTTAACCTGAAAAAGGTTTCATTTAATTTGAAAAAAGTTTCATTTAAACTGAAAATGCTATATATGGTAAGCTGTGCAAAACCCCGCCAGTAAAACCAATTCGTTAAAAATCAAGGCGTTTTTAGCGGCTTTTTCTAAAAATTCAGATGAAAAAGTTCAAAATTAATATAAAAATGTGTTGAATTTTTCAATGTTTTGTATAAAGTTATGGTTTGTAGCGGATATGTGAATCTAATTTTTCCGAGTTTAAAAAATATTTCAGGCTACATTTTATTTCGTGTAGTAGATGAGACATTAAAACAACGGTAAAACATCGATGTATCGATTTTATAACCAATGTTTTTTAACATCGATGTTTGTTGTGGGAACACCGAGGTTTTCAAACATCGATGCTCTTAAGAGCGATGTTGCATCCCTAGCTATCACACAAAACAAACAACTTAATACCCCATTTGGATGCACTGTTTTAAACATCTGTTCATCAACACACAACCGAGCTTGTTTAGGAATGGAATCGAAGCGTTCGTTTAACGCAGAGGTTCCCAAACTTTTTTTTTCTCGTAGACCCCTTTCAAAAATTTACTGGTTTCGGTGGACCCCCTGCTGATACATTTCTAAATATTCTCAAACCTCGTAAAAAAATTAAATGTGAAAATTAGATCTAACAATGTAAATTTGCGTCGCGGGTGAATTCAAAAACTAAACTCCGATTGGCCAAAATAAAAGTAAAATATTTTCTTGTGTTCTGTATATAAAAATAATGTGATTACACACTTGTAGGTTTTAAAAAATAGAGCTCGTAAATACATCAAAATACTCTCTCGCTCGGAAAAGCTATATTTTTTAAGAGCACTGCGAGCGCTAGCGTTATTTACATTATCTTCACCATAAACTCATCAAATGTTCGTATCACTCATGACTTTGCACGTGGAGTACATGTAAAATAGTTTATTTGTGTTAATGGCATCATTTTTATTTTTATCGCTCCGAGTTTTAAAGTGAGGCGAAAAATATTTATCACATTTTTAAAACACAAAACTTAAAACATCAAAACGGCTAAGCTTTTTACGCCAAACTTTTAACCCCGAAACTGACAATAGAGAAAAGAACGAGTTAAAAAAAATCGATGACAAATAACCACGCAAGCAAGAAGCACAAAAAGTGTTCCACCGTCTCATCTTCTTCAAGGCAAGATGGGCAAATGGACTTGTCATTTACGCCTATCACAGTAAGGTAAATTAGATGAACCTTGTGAGATTGAAGGCAACCTGAGTTTTGCCCACCTGCATCCCCTCGATGCCTCTCAGCCATTTCTGAGCGAAGTATTCACCCAGTTTCTGATGGTGGCTTCGATTGCCGAAGGTGGGAGTTATAAAACTGATTACGGACCGACGGATTCCTGGTCTGAGCCAACTCTGGCCAAATGATCAGATATCTCATAACCAGGTACTCCATAGTGACCTGGCACCCAGAGTAAAAAAACCTCGTTATGTTCACCATCATATTTTAGTCGAGACTTGCATTGCCGAACTAGTTTGGAAGTACTTAAGTGCAGCTTGGTTGTCTCTGCAGTCTCATAAACTCTTTCCCCTCCACCTATGTTCCACCACGTAGTCCATGACTTTGAGTATTGCAATTACCTCAGCCTGGAAGACCGAAGCATATTCCCCTACAGAAAAGTCAAGCTTATCTCCATTTACCTCGAAAAAGACCCCAGATCTTGACCCAGAGTCAGTTTTGGAGCCATCAGTGAAGACTTGATAATGTGTGAGTCCGGTCTCAGCGATGGAATCAAACCAGTATTCAGTCTCAGGGAACTCAACATTATAGAATCTCTTCAACAAAGGTTATGGTGGTCATACTATCCTGTAGCATTGAAAAGACACAAGTGCTTAAATCTCTGCCGCCAGCAATTTTCGCCGCGCCCCTCTCATTATCATACCAGCAGCCGGTTCTTTTTAGTCTGCAGGTGGCCTTTAAGGCTTCCCCACGTATGAAAACACAAGTGAAGGTAAGTGCAGCAGTGNTATCACTCATGACTTTGCACGTGGAGTACATGTAAAATAGTTTATTTGTGTTAATGGCATCATTTTTATTTTTATCGCTCCGAGTTTTAAAGTGAGGCGAAAAATATTTATCACATTTTTAAAACACAAAACTTAAAACATCAAAACGGCTAAGCTTTTTACGCCAAACTTTTAACCCCGAAACTGACAATAGAGAAAAGAACGAGTTAAAAAAAATCGATGACAAATAACCACGCAAGCAAGAAGCACAAAAAGTGTTCCACCGTCTCATCTTCTTCAAGGCAAGATGGGCAAATGGACTTGTCATTTACGCCTATCACAGTAAGGTAAATTAGATGAACCTTGTGAGATTGAAGGCAACCTGAGTTTTGCCCACCTGCATCCCCTCGATGCCTCTCAGCCATTTCTGAGCGAAGTATTCACCCAGTTTCTGATGGTGGCTTCGATTGCCGAAGGTGGGAGTTATAAAACTGATTACGGACCGACGGATTCCTGGTCTGAGCCAACTCTGGCCAAATGATCAGATATCTCATAACCAGGTACTCCATAGTGACCTGGCACCCAGAGTAAAAAAACCTCGTTATGTTCACCATCATATTTTAGTCGAGACTTGCATTGCCGAACTAGTTTGGAAGTACTTAAGTGCAGCTTGGTTGTCTCTGCAGTCTCATAAACTCTTTCCCCTCCACCTATGTTCCACCACGTAGTCCATGACTTTGAGTATTGCAATTACCTCAGCCTGGAAGACCGAAGCATATTCCCCTACAGAAAAGTCAAGCTTATCTCCATTTACCTCGAAAAAGACCCCAGATCTTGACCCAGAGTCAGTTTTGGAGCCATCAGTGAAGACTTGATAATGTGTGAGTCCGGTCTCAGCGATGGAATCAAACCAGTATTCAGTCTCAGGGAACTCAACATTATAGAATCTCTTCAACAAAGGTTATGGTGGTCATACTATCCTGTAGCATTGAAAAGACACAAGTGCTTAAATCTCTGCCGCCAGCAATTTTCGCCGCGCCCCTCTCATTATCATACCAGCAGCCGGTTCTTTTTAGTCTGCAGGTGGCCTTTAAGGCTTCCCCACGTATGAAAACACAAGTGAAGGTAAGTGCAGCAGTGCGTCCAGAGATCTATACACCACTCAAAAATATTAAAGTTAAATAAAGAGGCTATCAAGCAGCCATTTTGGTTCTTACATCGAAACCAGATAAATTCTCGTGGACCCCCCTTTACAACTCATGGACCCCCAAATTGTTTTCACGTCACCGTGGTCCCCCGTCGAGTCTTCCGAGGACTCCTGGGGGTCCACCTGGACCACTTCTGGAATCACTGGTTTAAAGTATCAATAACTTTCCTTATTCTATACAATGGATCATATCATGGCTCACCCTTTTTGATACGGTTACTCTCATCAGCAAACGACAAATGGCTCTTTATTGCGACAAACTTCCTCCAAGGCAAATTGTCTGGTACATGTCTAAATCCAAACTCACTCCAGTGTGCCTCTATATTAGGATATCGAAAAATAGACATAAATAGCAGAACGCCGAGATATCTTCGAATATGCGCCGTATTAGTAGTGAATTGCGTATTAATATCTGCTGAACGCGCTGCTCGATTGGTTTCCTCAACAATCACAGTGGTGAGTTGATCGGTAAAAAAATAATTAAAAAACTCCATCGGTGTCTCAAGTTTTCTCACGGCATATGGTAACTCAGAGTCTCCACAGAACGCCATTTCAATACGCCTTTGACGCCATAAGATGTTTGAGAACTCAGCCGAGTTTTTGTCAATGGTATCCAAGCTTGAACCCGTAAATCCACCTACTGATGGTCTTACCTGTGGTCCTGCGGATTCGACTGTCGGTAGCGGCGAATGACGCCTTCTCGGTGGTTTATAAACTTTTCTGGTGGTGTGCGAACGTGCAGTAGAAGATGAAGGTGTTGCGTCTGTTAAAATTTCCGAAGCAGATGGAACCACTTCTAGTGTCGAAGTTATTGACTCGGGTGCTGTAGCGGCAGATTTAACTGTCGAAACTTGTTTTGGTGGAGCTACTTCTGCTGATGAGACATCACTAAGTGTGCTAAGGTTCAATGACGGCGCAACTCCGTTGTCACAAGTGCTTGTGACCTAAAGCTTCCGAAATCATTTCGTCTTTCTCAGGTGATATCTGATCAACAACATAGTCCGGGTCGGCAACACTGTCGTCTCATACTCGTATTCAGATTCTTCATCAGACAAAAGAATGGAGTTCATCAATTGCTCTATTTCTTCATCTGTCATTGAAGATAGATAAAATTGCTTTGTTTAATCTTTCTCAGTTAATTCATGTGGCTTTTTCGCACAATATTTTCTCTTTTTTGTGGTCTATGCTCTTCCATTTTCTGAAAAATAACAGTAGCACAACAATTAATAACATTTACAATTTATAAAGTAAAAAAGAGTAAATCAACACAACACATTAGTGTTACGCTATTCAATTGTGCAACGGAAATTTTGTTTGCCTTACCCGGGCAAGACCGTCCAGAGAAGGTCTTCACTATATACACAAAATCTCCGAAAATTTATTCTCCAAAATTGAAACAGAAGTAAAATATAAAAGCAAACAATATTATTACTTACCAAAAACACTCCCGACTCGATTCGTGAACTGTAAACCACTTCTTTTTTAATTTAAAAAACTATGAATTTTCAAAATAATTTATGAGCTACTTTTCACTTTGTGTCTCACTTGAATTCACTAAACAGTCGAACTATGCCGTTGAAATCATTTTCTGCTTCATTTCTGCATGCAGCCAGTTAAAAACAAAAGAGCTTTACGACAAACCCTTGCGACAACTATGCGGTTTGAATTTGAACACATAAAAAGCAAAGACCTTCTGCAGACGGTATTGCCCGACAAAGGTTTAAAATTACAGCATCGCAATCCTTCTTTAATTTTCTATAAAAGATGTTTTCCAAAAATGGTGTAAACGCCCAGTACTGTTTTTAAAATATTTTTCTTTATGACAACATGGTTTATTTTGAGAGTCAAAAATTTGTTGTAATTTGTTTTTGAAAACTTATGATGAGATACATATATTTAGCAACGTGCTAAAAATCGGGTTTTTGCAAAAATTTAAACTTTATTGCGGATTCCGATAGAATACCTATACAGAAATTAAATTTGTACGGCAGGATTTTTCTTTAAGGCGACAAACGCTCAGAAATGGGCGTGGCAATTGTAGAACTAAAGTTAGCAAAACCCAGATTTTATTGCAGACGTCGGCACAATATCCCATCGTGAGTAGCAAAATTGAAGCGCATCGGAAACATTACGTAACTTTTTTACGAAATCCGTCCGATTTTAAAAAGAATGGCTCAAATACATAGTTTGTGCTTATATGTATGTATGTATATATATTTTTTAGCAGCGCCACACCTTTATCAGAAAATTCCGAAAATCCAAAACGCAATGGGGTATAGTCGTTGCACTGGGTATGCAGTTACAGTTGCATGGCTATGCTCAATCCCGACGCTTGCGTCCCCGTTCGCGCACTCTAGGCAACGTGAGCAACCTATGTGCGAGATGCGGCAACCAATCCGAGTGGAGCCGTGGGCCACCGCAGAAAGAGAGGGAGCTTCGGTGGGGCCACTCCGAATTATTCGCTTTAAGGGCTCACCGAACGTAAAAACCACTTCCAGTGAAGAAGCAAGGCAAAGCATCGGATGAGACGACCACGGCAAAAATTTAAAGGACTACGATTTGAGGGCATGCACCTGGAATGTCCGGACCCTTAATGGGAAAGGTGCCTTTGCCCGGCTGGAAAAAAGCTGACATCACAGCCATCCAAGAAATGCGTTGGACGGGACAAGGGAAGCAATTTCTGGGGCCTTGCGACGTCTACTACAGCTGCCATGTAAAGGGGCGCAAATTCGGAGTTGGATTTGTGGTGCGAGAGAGACTCCGTCGCCGAGTACTGTCGTTCACCCCGGTGGACGATCGTCTAGCCACAATCCGCATAAAAGCGAGATTCTTCAGCATCTCGCTCATCTGCGCCCATTCCCCTACGGAAGAGAAGGATGGGGCATCTAAGGATCTCGTCTATGAGCGCTTGGAGCGCACGTACGAGCGCTCCCCCGTCATGATATCAAAATTGTGCTTGGCGACTTTAATGCCAGGGTGGGCAAGGAAGGGATCTTTGGAACCACCGTCGGAGAATTCAG